ACTGCTGGATGGGCTTCCAGAGCCTCTGACCCTGCCCCCAGCCTCTCTGTGCCTGTCCTTTGTCCCATCTCTCCGGCTCATCTCAATGCCCTGGCCTCAGTGGACCACGCTGTTCACTGTTGTGTCTCCCCCACCCCGCCCCCTGTCTGGCTCTGTCTTCTCTCTTAGTTGCGTACTTGAAGGACCGAAGGCTGAGTGGAGGAGCAGGTAGCCCCACAGCCCTTCCCCTGATGCATGGACACCCAGCCTCCCCCTCCCCCGCTCCTGCTGCAGCCAGGCCGCATCTTGCTGTGGTTTGGAACCTTCTTGTGTCCTGTTCCACTCAGAAAGCCCACAGATTCTTGTGTTTCTGCAGACTTGGCCTCTAGGTTGGCTGGGCTGCAGAGCAGTCTTGCTTCTAGGTTGTCATGAGCTACGTGGCTTCCAGAGCTCTGGGGATTGGAAACAGACCCTCCTTAGAGGTAGAGCCCAGGTCTGGCCCTGCCTGAGCCAGAGGTGGCCAGGAGCGTTCAGGAGGGTAGAGTTTGCTGCCCGCAAGTCTTGCTTGTGAAACTCCGAACAAGGGCAGAGTCTGAATTGAGGGTGACCACCGCTCCGTGTCCTCCTTTACAGAAGCAGTCCTACTTCTCCACCGGCATCCTCGAGGGAGGCACGGCTGGAAACCCAGCACCTCCCTGCACCAGCTGCTCAGGGCTGCCTGGTCAGCTGCTTGAGAGGGCCCTGCTGGCCACAGCCCCCTAGGCCCACTCACTGTCGCTGGCCCTGCATGCCCCCGGCCCGACAGCTGTCGCCAGCTTCCTGGCTCGGGAGGGGCCCTTTGTGCCTTCGAGGAACGGTTTGCTAGCCGCTTTGCTTGCAGCCTACTTTTCCCACCAGAGGCGCCTGGCCCTGCCCGCCAGTCCTCAGGCCCACCCTGTCTCTGTCCACAGTGCCCTCAGCCAGCATGACCCGCCTGGCACGCTCCCGCACTGCATCCCTCACCAGTGCCAGCTCGGTGGATGGCAGCCGCCCACAGGCCTGCACCCACTCAGAGAGCAGCGAGGGGCTGGGCCAGGTCAACCACACCATGGAGGTGTCCTGTTGAAGCCCTCGATCCCGCTGACGACGCCCACCTGTCCGCCCACGTCGAGGCCCCACCGCCATCCTTGCGCCGGCTCATGTTCCCTTTAGTTTATTTTTGTGAGGACAAAGGGGAGGAAATGGGGTTCTGTTTGAAAAAAATGAGGGGATCTATCTTAGATCCTTCAGCGGAACAGTCTCCAGGTGTTTTGAGGGGCTCACTCCTCCCCACCCCATCTCACTCTCCGTGGTAACTTGGCCGACTTGACCCCTCTCATCTCACTCCCTGCGGCCCAGGCACAGGAGGGCAGGGCCATAGGGAGGGAGATTCTCTAAGGATCCAGGCCATTCCTGGGTGAGCCCTTGGGCAGGCATGTTTGCAGATGGGAGAGGCTTCGAGAGGGTGGTTACTGGGCCCACGGGGTGCAGGGCCAGCTCAGGCACTGGAGTGGGAGCCCTGGGAGACCCCTTCCCCCACTCTCCACCAAGCACACCCGTTTCTGTCTCATAGCACATGTGACAATCATCTGGACAATAGCCACAAGGGGGCGCACGGACCAGGCAGCCACTTTCCTGGTGCTCTCTGGGCCCAGCTGGTGCTGTAGGGCCAGGCAGGCAGGGGCGTCGGGGTTTCTCTGCCCAAGGAAGACAGAACATGGAGAACCGTGAGGGCAGGAACCCCACAGACCGTCCCTTCCAGCCCACACTCTGCCACCTCCTGGCCCTCTCCCGTTTCTGAGCCAAGGCCTCCCCGAGGCAGAAGTTGCCTGGTCGTCTGTCCCCACAGTGACCTGACTGGGGGTGAGGGAGAAGGAAGAGAGAGCCCATGTGTGGCGTGTGTGCCCTGAGAACATCGTGGTGACTGCCTTTGGGAGCCCGCAGGTGGCCAGAGGCAGGGGTAGCTGAGTTCCTGGAGACCCCTTTTTTGCCCCCAGGTTCCCCAGAGGGCAATGCCATCAGTAGCAGTGTGGTGTTTCAGGCAGAGCTCTGGCCAGGCTGTGCCAGCGTGTCCTGGAAGCATCACTAAGGAAGAGTGAGTTTATTCAGTCAACTGGCCCAAGGCAGCGAGACTTCTACAGTCCCATACCCCATAGCCCCCTGGGCTGGGGCTTACTAGGGGCTGATGATTCTGGACATGAACAAGAGCCAGGTAGAGGAGAAAGGCTTCCCCCACACCCCAGCCCCCTGCTGTCCCCTGAAGCCCAGGACTGTTGTGTGCTTTCCATCCACCCACCTTACCCTATAGCATCTTGCGGCCCAGAAACCAGAGCCATTTGTCTCAGATCCTAAATCAATGGTCACAAACCTCAAAACAGAGAGGGGAGAGAGCAATGAAAACATGAAGGGCTGTGGAGGGGGAGGGTTGTGGTGGGTGTTCTGAGGCTGAGAGGACACCTATATGCGTATTTCCTCTATACACATCACCCCCCTTCTGTAATCTTAAGCCATGACTAGCCTGGTGATGTGTTAGTTTGTGCCGAGTTCTACCCCCTCATGTGCTGCTTCTGAATACTGAATGTGACTGGTTGAAAGCTGGTAGAATTCATCCCTCTTACTGTAGATAGCACTGCAAATCTTGGAATTTTTTTTTTGTTTTTTGCTGTGTTTCCAGATGAAATATCTATAAATATCTATACATTATATATATAGATGTGTGTGTGTGCGCGTGTGTGTGTGTGTGTACATTGGGTCCTCCCATGTGTGGTGGTCCTCCGGAGGCTGTCTCTTTGGTCAAGGTGAACTTTTAATGTTTATTATTTTCTTCTCCGCACAAAGAGCCTAATTCTGTGTATTCTGGTGGCTGCTGTCATGAGATGACAAAATGTAAAACAAAATTCTAGTCAACGTAGAAAGAGTTAACTGTGCTGAAAAACTAATAAAGAACCTAAGAATTCCAGTGTGGTGATGCCATGCCCATCGTGGGAAGCTTTTGGAGTGACAGAATGTTTGGGCAGGGGCTGCTGGTGCTGCTTGGTTTGGGGTGAGGGTGCTAGGAGAGGATGGTCTTCACCCATCTTTCTATTTCCAGTACATGTCACATTATTTTACCAGTGAGAGGAGAGTGTGACAAACATTAAAAGCCTTATGTGCTAATTTCTGCTTAAACCCCTGACTCTGTGACAAAATACAGCTCTCCTCAGCCAGGCACGGTTGCTCAAGCCTGTAATCCCAGCACTTTGGGAGGCTGAGGCGGGCAGATCACTTGAGGCCAGCAGTTAAAGACCAGCCTGGGCAACACGGTGAAACCCTGTCTCTACTAAAAATACAAAAATTAGCCGGGCGTGGTGGCACGTGCCTGTAATCCCAGCTACTCGGGAGACTGAAGCAGAAGAATCTCTTGAACACGGGAGGCAGAGGTGGTAGTGAGCGGAGATCATGCCACTGCACTCCAGCCTGGGTGACAGAGTGAGACTCTGTCTCAAAATAAAAAACAAAATACAGCTCTCCAGAAAAAAAATGCCTTAAAAACAAAACAAAACACCCCTGCCCTCCAAATCTCTTGCCTGAGTCACTACATTCCTTCAAAGATAAATGACCTGTTCTTTGCCTTCTCCTAAACATACGATCATGTCTGACAGGGTTAATGATTATACTTCTGCAATCTATAACCAGATATACTTATCCCTAAACTTTGATATGATTTTACACATACTAAATCTTCAACTACATATAACCTAAACTAAAATACCCTGTTACAGCAGCCTCACAAGATTACTCCTGGGCTACAGGCCTCAGTCTATAGTCCTCAGTAAGGCTTCTAAATAAAACTAATTTTAATTATTTAAAAGCTTAATATTTTTTCTTTAGTCAACATACCAGCCCTTACATTAATCCTACAGGGTAGGTATTATCTTAGTTTCGCAGGTGAGGAGACTAAGCTTCAGGAAAAAGGATCTGCCTTAATAATAGACCAGGCCGGGCGCGATGGCTCACGCCTGTACTCCTAGCACTTTGGGAAGCCGAGGCGGGCGGATTGCCTGAGCTCAGGAGTTCCAGACCAGCCTGGGCAACACGGTGAAACCCCGACCCTACTAAAAATAAATACAAAAAATGAGCTGGGCGTGGCAGCCTACGCCTGTAGTCCCAGCTACTCGGGAGGCTGAGGCAGAACTGCTTGAACCCGGGAGGTGGAGGCTGCAGTGAGCCGAGACTGCACCACGCACTCCAGCCTGGGCGACAGATCGAGACTCCGTCTCCCCACCTCCCCAAAAAAGAGAAAAAAAAAAAAACACTGAGTGTTGAGCTCCGGCGTTGCTTGGTTTCAAAACCCATTCCTGTAACCTCGTTTATTTATTCACAGCCTCGTTTTCTTAAATTTAACAGCATGCTACTTCCCCAGGTTTAACCACCATTTGTTTTATTCATTTATTTACCCAATAGGTAGATATTGAGTCCTTACTATGTCAGCTAATAAAACCCACCACGTGCTATGCAGTCGATTAAAAAACGAGGATGTACTGGCAAATAAGGGCAGAGAGGATCTATTCTAGATCCAGGAGCCCTCTAGGCCACGCTATTCCGAAACACACACGAAAACTGCTCTGAACGCATACCACCAGTAAAACGATTCCATGGCCATCGGTAACAAGGAGTCGAGATCAGGAGGTCGCTGGCCGCCCAGATGCGTCGCTCACCACCGGCCGGCCGCCAGACCCTCGGCTTCCGATCCAGAAACCGTATTTTGTTCCTACACCCAGAAGGCAAGAAGCCTCAGCCCTCGGGGACAGACCAAAGGCCAGGGTTGTACCTGGCTCAGAACTAGGCTCCAAGCGGCACGGGACGCTCCTTCTGCACTCTGACCGCGCGAGAGCAATTGGAGATCCTGGACTCAAGATGTTTTCAGTAGGAACGATTCCAGCCAGCGCTAACACCGGCCGGTCTGCAGCGTGGACGCCAAAACAGGCACCACGTGGTTCCGGCGCCGGGGCGGGGCCAGAGACGCCGGAAGTGGCCGCGCGCTCCACGGGCCCACCGGGAGGCGCGCTTTCAGACCATGGCGAGCCAAACGAAGCGCCCACGGGTGAGTGGCGGGTGCGGGGTCCAGCCTTCTCCTTCGCGCCTCACCCCTCCTCCGCCCGCAGGGCCATGCGCCTGCGCCCCCTCCGCTCCCTCCCGCGGGTCCCGCGCCCCTCTCTGCTCGTCCCCACCTCCACCCAAAGCCCGTTCTGCGCGCGCGCGTCGCGGTCTCCTGCCGTTCCCAGCGGGCTCTCTGGGGCCGGGCCTGGTCACTGCGCGCACTTATCTCAGGTGGCGGGGCCTGTGGACGGCGGCGACCCGGATCCTGTGGCCGGCTTCCTGAACTGGTGCCGGCTGGTGGGGCTGGAGCTGAGTCCCAAGGTGAGCGAGCGAGCCGGCGGGCGGAGGACCTGCGGCCGGGCGCGGGCTGCCCTGACCAGCCCTCCTCCTGCTCAGGTGGCGGTCAGCCGGCAGGGCACGGTGGCCGGCTACGGCATGGTGGCCCGGGAGAGCGTGCAGGCCGGAGAGCTGCTGTTCGTGGTACCGCGGGCCGCGCTCCTGTCGCAGCACACCTGCTCCATTGGCAGCCTGCTGGAGCGAGGTGGGCACGGCGGCGGGCTAGGGCTCTGGGGCTGGGCGGGGCGGGTCCGCGAGGCCGCGCCGGGGCGCTCACACCTGTGTCTCCCTCAGAGCGAGGCGCGCTGCAGAGCCAGTCGGGCTGGGTGCCACTGCTGCTGGCGCTCCTCCACGAGCTGCAGGCCCCGGCCTCACGCTGGAGGCCGTACTTTGCGCTCTGGCCCGAGCTGGGCCGCTTGGAGCACCCGATGTTCTGGTGAGAACTTTGGGAGGGGTTGGGGAACGCCTGCACCGTAGCCTGCTGCAGGAAGTTTCCCCGCCACCCGCCCCTGCACCAGTCCTGCCCAGTAAAGTGTGTGAAGGGATGAAGGGAACCTGGGTGTGGGTGTCCCTGCAGGCCAGAGGAGGAGCGCCGGTGCCTGCTGCAGGGCACAGGCGTACCTGAGGCCGTGGAGAAGGATTTGGCCAACATCCGCAGCGAGTACCACTCCATCGTGCTGCCCTTCATGGAAGCCCACCCCGATCTCTTCAGCCTCAGGGTTCGCTCCCTAGAACTCTACCATCAGCTCGTGGCCCTTGTGATGGCCTATAGGTCAGTGGGTGGGGCCTCTGAGGACGGAACCCTTTTCTTTAGAACTGTAGAGAGGGACAAAAGGGGAAAAACAATGAAATCCACCCCCAATCCCTCACCCAAGACAGGACCTTAGCCAGGTTCTGTCAATGGCAGCTTTCAGGAACCACTGGAAGAGGAGGAGGATGAAAAGGAGCCCAACTCCCCAGTGATGGTGCCTGCTGCAGACATACTAAACCACTTAGCCAATCACAATGCCAATTTAGAATATTCTGCGGTGAGTGGAGTTCTTATTGGTGCACTAAGCATGATTCAAGCCATTGTGTTTTAGGCTCCATTCTTTTACTAATGCTACAAAATGAGTAGGTGAAATCAGCTCCTCCTGTATGTACTTTTAGTGTGCTTATTACTGTAGAATTATTTGAATGCAAAACATTTTAAAGTCCTCAAAGTAAGTTGGGGTTAACCCTCTGATAAACTATACTACCATCATTTATTTAGTGCTAGAGATTGGGTAGTCTGCATAGCCATGCTTCATTCCCTGCTGGCTGATCACATCAGTGAGCCCAGACTGTGTGTGGCTCTGTGGATAGCGGCCTGGAACAGTGAGAGTCTCCGTGTTTTGTAGGGATGAGGACATTCACAGGCCAGAGGTCTAAGATGATCCTAGAACTGGTATAAAGCTGTGTTTTTACCAGCTCTGTTCTATACGGAAAATTGCCTGAAAAGATGACACATTTATAGGATCGAAAATTAGTTAAGTATGGTTATTTCTTAATCCTTGCCTCCATTTTCCTTTCCCACTTTGATCTGCGAAAGTTTCATTCCCCCGCCCCACCCCGCGCCGAGAAGGAGTCTCGCTGTGTCACCCAGGCTGGAGTGCAGTGGCGTGATCTCAGCTCACTACAACTTCCGCCTCCCGGGTTCAAGCAATTCTCCCTGCTTCAACCTCCCAAGTAGCTGGGATTACAGGCTCCCGCCACCATGCCCGGCTAATTTTTGTATTTTTTAGTAGTGACAGCGTTTCGCCATGTTGGCCAGGCTGGTCTTGGAACTCCTGACCTCAGGTGATCCACCCACCTTGGCCTCCCAAAGTGCTGGGATTACAGGTGTGAGCCACCGCACCCGGCCAAAAATTTCATTTTTAAAGCTAGCAACTTTTTAAGTGCTGAAGAGGACTGTGCAGAAATCCACCCACTTAAACATGAAGCTGGCCTTTGAAAGTTAGCCTAACCCTTTTTTGTTTCACAGTTCAGGGTCTTAACAGGAACTAAAGGTAGAACTTTGGTAGCTAACAGCATCAGTCCCATGGCTGAACTACACCTGCTAAAGGCTCTTAAGTGGAAGTAATCTTCATGGGGCTGGCCCATGAAAGGCATGGCCCCAGCTTCTCCCTTTCACCTCAGAATTGTCTTCGGATGGTAGCCACTCAGCCCATTCCTAAAGGCCATGAGATTTTCAACACTTATGGGCAAATGGCTAACTGGCAACTGATTCATATGTACGGTTTTGTTGAACCATATCCTGACAACACAGATGACACAGCTGACATTCAGATGGTGACAGTTCGTGAGGCAGCATTACAGGGTGAGTGTATCGTTAACTCAATATTTGACACTGATGGTGTGTTATACCCACACCTCAGGTTAAACAGCTTTGCTAAATAGCAGTTGACTTTGTAGACTGGGTGGCAGACTAAAGAAAAAATGAGCCATTGGGTGTACTGAGCCTTTCACATTGCTGTTTCATCTACAGGAACAAAAACTGAAGCTGAAAGGCTCCTAGCGTATGAGCGCTGGGATTTCCTATGCAAACTGGAGATGGTAGGGGAAGAAGGAGCCTTTGTGATAGGGAGGGAGGAGGTGCTAACTGAAGAGGAGCTGATCACCACACTAAAGGTAAAGGGCTGAAAATGGCCATTTAATGCTGATAATCTAAGTATTTAAAGCAAAACAGCTAGAAAATGAGGAAATGTGGGGTTTTTAATAAATGCTAAGATGGGTTTAATCTCCTGAATCATTTTGGAAGTACAAAAGTAGTACATCCTAATTAAAGGGCTCTGTGGTTGTTTCTAGGTACTGTGCATGCCTGCTGAGGAGTTCAGAGAGCTTAAAGACCAGGATGGAGGGGGAGATAATAAAAGGGAAGAGGGCAGCCTGACGATCACAAATATTCCCAAGCTCAAAGCATCGTGGAGACAGCTGCTACGAAACAGTGTTCTATTGACCTTACAGACCTATGCCACAGACTTAAAAACTGACCAAGATTTACTCAGTAATAAGGAAGTCTATGCCCAACTCAGCTGGAGGGAACAGCAAGCCTTACAGGTTCGCTATGGTCAGAAGATGATCTTACATCAGTTGTTGGAACTGACACAAGTTGGCAGTTTCCCTGTTCCCTGAAGGAACAGCAATAAGAACTTTTATTCTAAGCTAGTACTCATTGATGTTTGAAAAAGGGAAAATTTGGATCTTTTTCTTATTAAACACCAAGAGGAAAAGTAGCAAACGTGGTGTGCTAGGATAAACTGAGGTAAGGGTGATGTGTTTTAGGATTGAGAACAGCAGACTTGGGAATCACTGCTAATTGTTAAAGCATGTTACAGCTATTTTGTTCTGTTTTAACGAAAGCCAGTGGAAATATGGTAGTAATAGGTCGTCTTGTTGTGTTTCAGCATTTCATAATAGACTTGGTGGTAGACCCTGGTTTAAATCTAAGTCTAGTTTGAGGAAATCACTTAACCTTTATTTAAAAGACTGGATTTAATAAGCTGTGTAACTGACACTCAATGATCAGTTACCCGAAGTTCACTCTAGATGGCACAAACCACCCCTCAGGGAATAAACCCTAAGACATCACTCATGGAGGACTTCAATTATTTAATTTTGAACTATTTTGTCCTCTCTGGCTGTAAAACTTGACAGTCATGAAAGGTAAGGCAAATTTTAAGTGGGTTAAGTTTTAAAATACACATCTACTCATTTTCTTTAAAAAGAAAAAATACCAAAATACCTGGCGGGTATTAAAACTGGGCATTTTAAATTCTGTTTAACCAGAGAAACCTGCTCCAGCAATTTTCCAGTGTTGAAATAGGAAGAAAAAGGGTTTCCTTAAACATGCCAGCTTAGTTAGTGGGAATGACCTATCATTCAGCAAGTAGTTGATGGTCCCCCATGGCCCCAAGGTCTGCAAGGCTGGACTGTCCACTTTTCCTCCTCACCACCAGCACTGGCTGCTGCTACTGAGAAAGGCACAGTGGACTCGTGTGTGTCATGACTTTAATGGTTAGCTACAGTATGCATACACATACAAGAAGTAGGGGAGCTGAAGCCCGGGAAAAGGCTACAAAATACAGCACAGGGACCAATACATTTGCAAAACATTCAAAACCCTTATTAAAAGGGGCTGTATTGGTCCTTTCAACTTTGTCATTATTTAGCTTAGCCTGTATGGCCATTCATTGGGGTAATGGGGAGAACAATTAATGAGATTTGTTTCCCTTTCCTATATTCCCACTGTTTTTAAGTTTCAGAAGAGGGATGTAGGGGTGAGGGTAGGGGGTGGGCTTTAGGCCTGGTCTAGTTTCCCTTTATATAAAGAGCTGACCCCCATCTCACGCGGCTGAGGTGTGTAATCCCCAAAATAAGTAAGATGGTACAAATGCAGTCAGCTTTGGAATGGGTTTGGGTAGAGAAAAACAGAAACTCATGGGATTCCAATTGTGAGCCCTTCCCATGTTCCCAGACATATCAAATTCTAGCACATCCACATTTTTAATAACTTAGTGATTTTTAAGGTCCCCTGTCCACATTAAAAAAATAAGTTACATAATATTCAAACTGGCTTTTTGCTATTCTTTGGGACACCAGGAATGTCAGAGGACATGGAGCTATGCCCTCAGACAAGTGCATGGCATCAGCTGCCTCTTTATTACAAGGTACCAGTTTATGTACTTGCCTTGGACACAGCTTGCACAAAGCCAAGAAGTTCCAGACAAAGGTTTTCTCTTTCATGTATTTACACAAGTTCAAAATGATATTCACAGCATCTTCTAAATTTTGGCCAAGAGTCAAAAAAATGCATTTAAACTTTGGAACGTGCCCACATAAGACAGGAGGCTGATCCCAACAGTAGTTGGGGCAGATACCCGCAAACCAAAGGGCTGGGAAAGTCAGGAAGAGCTGAAAGGATTCTTCAGTTTGTGAACTCGGTGCAGTGAGACCTCTAGGCTGACACACGTACAACGGAGATGCAGTTTCATCTAACTGGCACCTGTCCCTTCCATTACTTGCTGGGCCTGCTTCTGTCCCATGCAGCACTGTGCGACCGACTGGAATAACCTGAAGGATGAAGACAGTTACAAATCTGTGATTAAAGAGTAGGCCTAACAATACCCTGCATCTCATTCAACTACTAATCACTGACCCAACCTAGAGACAAATAAGGTTTTCAGTCTCCAGTCTCATTCCTAGACAATTAAAAATTACTTTGAACTCACTTTTCGATTTCTGGGGCACAGTGTACAAATTCATGGTTCCAGAACTTAAACGCTGGGTTTTTAATCAGCTCAATGAAGGTAATAAGAAGACCCCAAGGATGTGGCCTATTTACAATCAACCGTTCCAAGAGAACTCTGGGAAAGGGGAGAAAAGAGCTAGTTAATGCAGAGAAGCATACAAATTCATGATGATTCTTCCATTACTCTTTTTTCTAACTTCTCCCTGATTATTAAACCACAGGCAAAAGTTTTCACCTTTAGTAGTAAAGACAGGTGGATTAATCAATGTACTCCAAATGGCATGGGATGGAATACCTGGGTTTGAACCTTGCTCTTAGCCCTAGAAGACTAAGTATTAATGTAAAGTGCAGATAATGGTATCTACCTCAGAACTGTTCAGAATAAGGGGTGATGGGGGAGAGGAAGCCACATAAAGCCCAGAGTACATGACACACAAAGTTAGTACAAAAAGTAGTAATTTACAGAATAAGCTCCCAGGCCAGGCATAGTGGCTCATGCCTGTAATCCCAGCACTTTGGGAGGCTGAGGCAGGTGGATCACCTGAGGTCAGGAGTTCAAGACCAACCTGGCCAACATAGTGAAACCACGTCTCTGCTACAAATACAAAAATTAGGCATGGTGGCACATGCCTGTAATCCCAGCAGTCGGAGGCCGAGGCAGGAGAATCACTTGAACCTGGTAGGTGGGAAGTTGTGGTGGGCCGAGATCATGCCACTATACTCCAGCCTGGGCGACAGAGACTCTGTCTCAAATAAATAAGCAAGCAAGCTCACTCTCAATGAAAAGTAAGGAAATAGAAAATAAGAATTCTAACACTGCAGGCTGGACGTGGTGGCTCACGCCTGTAATCCCAGTACTCTGGGAGGCTGAGACGGGTGGATCACAAGGTCAGGAGTTGAAGACCAGCCTGGCCAAGATGGTGAAACCCCGTCTCTACTAAAAATGCAACAAATTAACCAGGCGTGGTGGCAGGTGCCTATAATCCCAGCTACTCAGAAGGCTGAGGCAGAGAATTGCTTGAACCCAGGAGGAAGAGGTTGTAGAGAGCCGACATTGAAGCACTGCACTCCAGCCTGGGCGACAAAGCGAGACTCTCAAAAGAATTCTAACATTGCTAGTGCACGTGTAAACTGGTAAAATTTTTCTGAATGCCAGTATTGGCTTTTATATCCTTTCACATACCAACTGTACATGAAGCATAACAAAGATTACAAGCCCAAGGCGACTTACTGCAGCTTTATATAAACAAAATGGATCATCATCATCTAAGCATCCAATAAGATATTAAATTTTAGTACACAAAGGAATACCATATTTAGCATCATAGGTATTATTAGGCAAATGAGCAAGTTTTAAGAGTCTAGCCCAATTTTTAAAGTGTTTGTGTGTGTGTGTATATATATATATCACAATCTCTCTAATGCTATATATATAGTCTAGGCACTCCGGCAACAGATTCCTAACTATTGTTATTTCCTGTTATTGCTACTGCTTTCAACCCAGAGGTAATGAGGAAAAGTCCAAGGTCCTTAACACAGTCTTCCATAGGCATGCATGATTTAGGACTGGTTATCACCACCAACTCAGAGAAACTCCTGACCTTTAATCAAAATGTGCCTTGTGGTGTAAACTACTTTTCATTTAAGCCATGATTACGATTTACAATGCTCTACTTGTGATACATGTTCATCAGAATGAGTATTAGGAGGGCAGCAACCATCCCCATTTTGCTCACAATTGTATCCCACACTTAACACATTATTGGACATGTAAAAGATTTTCACTGAAGGCCAGGTGCAGTGGCTCACACCTGTAATGCCAGCATTTTGGGAGGCTGAGGTGGGCGGATCGTGAAACCCCATCTCTACTAAAATACAAAAATTAGCTGGGCATGGTGGCGGGTGCCTGGAATCCCAGCTACTTGAGAGGCTAAGGCACGAGAAAGGTTGAACCTGGGAGGTGGAGGTTGCATTGAGCCAAGATCGCACCATTGCATTCCAGTGACAGAGCAACACTCCATCTCCCAAAAAAAAAAAAAAAAAAAAAAAAAAAAGCAAAAACACCCAAACCAACCAAACAATAGATTTTCACTGAACACTGAAAGCATAGAGAATTTAAAAAAAAAAAAAAAAAAAAAGAATTTAAGATGAAAGGAAGAAAACCCTTTTGAAGCATTTAAAAAATAAGCTGCTTTCTTACCTTGTGATCTGTTCTTGGATGGCTTCTGTATTGGCCTCTGCAAAAAGGTACAGCATGGTGCAACTGAAGTAGTGAGTGTGGCTATTTGGGTACCGGAGCTGATTTGCAATTGCATTCAAAAAGAGATAGCGACCTAGAAATTAAGAAACCTTGACTTAGGACTTAGTCTGAAAGGCCAACATGGGAAAACAGTTCTAACTGGCTAGGGTTTGGGTTTCTGACAGAGGCTTTCAAATTAATCTTTGGTTTAAAGCAGTGGTTCTCGGGACCCCGAAGAGTTCTCATTTCTGTGAGTTTTATTTCAGTATTTTCCACATTAGAAATTAGGTTTTTTTAAATATTCATTTTTAAAAACAGACCCACTATATGCTAATATAAGTAACATGAACTATTTTCTGGTGACACTCATCACTACGTTTTTCTACATTTTGCAGATCTCTAAGTCTTGCTTAATAAAAGACAACTGGATTTTCATTTCTGCTTCTGTGTTCAACTTGTTACAGTATATTTCATGTAACCTCTGAGAAATTCAACTGTACACATGACAGAATAGACCCAAAAATGTAAATGTTGTTTTATGATGAAAACAGTTTTGGGCCGGGCGGGGTGGCTCACGCCTGTAATCCCAGCACTTTGGGAGGCTGAGCCAAGTGGATCACTTGAGATGAGGGGCTCAAGAACAGCCTGGCCAACATGGTGAAACCCCATCTCTACTAAAAATACAGAAAAATAAGCTGGGCGTGATGGCACGTGCCTGTAATCCCAGCTCCTCGGGGCTGAGGCAGGAGAATCGCTTGAACCCAGGAGGCGGAAGTTGTGGTGAGCCGATATTTAGCCACTGCCTTCCAGCCTGGGTAAGACAGCAAGACTCTATTGCTTTAAAAAAAAACAAAAACAAAAAACGGTTTTGACCTCACAGCCCTCCTAAAAAGGTCTTGACACCCTAAGGGTACCCAGCCCACATTTTGAGAACCATTAATCTAAACTACATCGGAGTAAGTATTATCTTAATTTGGTTTGGTTGTCTGCCTCTGCTTGACATTACTCGTGTTTGTGAGTCTACCACAGTGACACGTTTCTCTAAAGGCTTCCTTCCTTTTATTGCCGAGCTCTGGACGTGATGGTATTCAATTTTGTTATATCTTGAATTTAAGCTGTCTTAAATCCATCCCACATACAGGCATGCAGCATATATGCAACAATAATGTATCTCTCAAGAATCAATAAGCAAAGTTAAAGAGTAGTGTCCCCCTAAAATATATGTATGCAAAAACTAGACAGGACTGCACAACTAGTTAGCACCTAACTGGGGTCTCTATTATATAAGATACACATAGAGGACCAAAAGAAATGTAGCTCAAGCGGAAAAGCTGCAACCTGCAACAGGAGTTATACTGTGAGCTTTTTGCAGAACAGGAGAGTCCTATTTATTAATCTTTATACATGAACATTTAACAAGATACCTGCCAAACAGGCACCAATAAAAATGCTATTATATAAGGCAGCCTAACAAAACAATGTAACAAGAACCTATGTTTAAAGGGACTTTATTTTCACACTGAAAAACTTCAGTCACATACACCAAAACTGATACTGCATGATTCTGGATAATTCTTTCCTTTATGCTTTTTTGTATTTTCTGCACTGAGCAGATAATGTCCAATTAAAGATAAAATAATCAGCCAGACCTGTAAATAAATATACTGACAGAACATTCCTTCAACTATTGTGGCTTGAAGCATTTTTACATTTTTGTGATCAGACTGTAGCAAAAAGCACAGAGAACTCTACTCTGAAAACTGGCAGGTTTCACTCACCCTCAGTGTCCAAGTCCACAGCCAAATTCTGGAAGATATCCATGTGTGCTGAATGAGTGATGGTGCTCATTGAAGGCGTGCTGCCCTTGTTGTGGATGTGTGCAATGGCCTGAGTCCCGACATAGAGCACCAGTGCATTGATGAGCTGGAGGTTGTAGCGATTCCCAGGTTCATTGGATACCTTAAAATGAGCAAAACAGAACTCTTTATGCTTACTCCTGCAGAGGACCAATTCTAGCACCAGTATTTCTAAACCCTTCTTACACCTTCATGGAAAGGCTGAACATTCACGGTGATTCACTTGCTCGAATTTTTGAGATTATTTAACAAATACACAGATGCTCCAAAAGTGGTTGTATCAGTAAGAGAAATGTGATTTCCCTCAGAAAGCCAAAGCTTCTATCACTGTACTCAAGGCACAACTCTAAAGTTTATAAAATCAAAATATGCACTGTGTCAATTAAAGATTTGGAGAGAAAGTTGTAGTTGCATGGCATATACAGATTGTAAATATATAACTTTCAAAATACCCTACAGAGAAATGTAAATCAGCATCCACATATTCAGAAAAACCCTGGAAGTACCAACAGCTAATGACTGTCAGTGGTCTACTCTTATAGGGCTGTCTCGTCCAAAGCTGTAGCAAAATATCACTGATGAAATGAACTAGTAAAATACATAAATCCAGTTAACCTCACCCAACTGATGGACATGACAATAAAAGACTAACTCCCAAATGGACCACACACAGAACCATACATAGAAAGTGCTTTCTATGGAAGACATAGCTGAGTTTTAAGCCAAACCAATTAACCTGTAGGTTGCTGCGCAGATCAGACAGAAAAGTGACTGGTGATCGAGTTTTAAGATAGGAATCCAAATCCTTTTTGAACTGAGGTGGCATTACTCCAGTGAAATTGGTGAGAATCCGGGGAGCAATGTTAATTTCACTCAACATGTCCACCTGCCACAGATAAAATGCAAGAATCACAAGCAGAGTCATTTTTATTAGTAAATTACATCTATGCTAAAAAGTGATGGGACTGTTTTTCTAAAACTAGATACACTATAAATGCCTTGAAGGGCACAGCTGCCACATTTTATTACTTTAATCAGTCTTTCTTTCTTTAGAAGAATCTTGGTACAAAATGATAAAAATTTCTCACTCCATAATGTTTTTCCTTTCCAGAAGCAAGATACCTTTTGGGCAAAGGTCTAATTTGCACAACTGACTGACTTTTCCTGGACTTGGATTTCAAAATAATAATCCAGAATAACATTCCTCACTCACCAAGAGTCTTTGAAAAGAAGCCCCAGCAAGACAAGACATCACACTTACTCCTTTTTTAAAAAAAAAAAAAAAAATGAAGCCGGGCGCGGTGGCTTATGCCTGTAATCCCAGCATTTTAGGAGGCCAAGGCAGG